CAATTGTGAGTACTGGTGCCTGCTACTGCCCCTCAATTCACAGGAGATGGACGAGCACTACAACAGAAAAGAAGCAGGTAATCATTCCGATCATTGAGATAGTAAGGAAAATAGAATTGCATCCAAGGCAAAGCACTACATTATCGACAGCAGGACGGTGAGACAGAAGAAATGATTCCTACTCGCAAAGAATACTGACAGGCTTCCGGAATGACAACATAGTCGAAGACTGAAGTAAGTACAGTCGTTGCTCGTGGCAGAATCAATGAAGAAATTGACGAAGAAGAGAGGTCTGGAGACATCGAAGCACAGACGAGTAATATCGAGTATGGAGGGTTAGTCTCGTGAACCGGACTCGACGAATCGGGAGATACGTCGATGAGCCATAGATTGCAACTACGGTGCACTTCATGATAATACGAACAATATCCCCAAGGACAAGTTCGGGTGCCGGGACTCTGGCTCAATTGTCAAATGAAAGAGACGACATTGCGATACTACTCACTTAACAGAGTTACCATCCTGATTGACCAGAAGATCCCTGGGTAACATAAGTAGCCGCAACAGAGTCTGTGGTGCAACTCGGTGAAATCCGATACAAGCTGGATGAGTCGTCCGCCAAGCTTGACGTGATTTCTGTACCTTACCAGGCATTGAAGAAGGCCTGTAGAACAACAACTAGCTGGAGCACCACAATGAGGGCTAAGTTGGCTGTCGATGGGTTCGGGTCATTGAGGGGTCTCCTACGTAGATCTGTTAACTTTGTTTCCCTTGCCGAAATAGTGTATGGGTGGACGAACCAAGAGGGGAAGCAGATGATATACGTGATGAATAACAAATCGCTGAAGCCTTAATGACATCTAGCAATGTCAGAGGGAAGAAAAGATGAAAGATGGTATTACACACCTCCGGATATAAGGATCTACCAAAGCTAAAAGAATGTATGCTTTGGTAGATTCTTAGGCAGAGAAGTGATGACATTCTTACCGTTCTGAGATAGGCACCTAATAAACATGGGGCCATTTAATCCTGATACTCCAAGGTGAGTGAGGACCTCAAGAGTGTCCAGTTCATGCTAATAAAAATCTGTGATTTCTAGGGGAAGATGTTGATCTTGAGGTTTGATGGTGAGCTGCATTTAGCCTGCCTTTGCTGACTTGGTCTTAGCATCCGCTCGACCGTCGTTTGTCTCATCAACACAGGTACTGTGAACAGAGTATCAGTGAAAGGAATTCATACACAACAGGGGAATAACCTCAAAGTCCCAACTCGCCCGGTATCTTCGCCCCAATATTGACCCGAGTAGAGCAGTAACTGGCACTAAGTACGATCCAGCGCTGCACGAAATTGAATCATCAAATGGTACCGCGAGCCTAGTGAGTTTCAACAAGGAAGATTCAGTATCTCAGGAGTATTTGCGCCACTATACGGCTGAAGTCGTGCCCATCATAGTCTTGTAGAACAGAATCAATGATTCGTATGAAGAAAAGTCATTAAGATGGCCGCCCGCAATGGGCATCGATGCTCGGAGGATTCACAGATTTGAGTCACATGAGGGCCAAAAGGGGAATGACATCCAAAACAGGAAGGAGAGACGAAATGGCACAGCCACCCTGGAAAGCTCAAGTTGCAAAGACCGAATCCTATATACACAGGACTCGGAATACTTTCTGAACTAGAGGTCGCTCTCTGAGAAAAGGTGGGCCCTGACCTTGTGTTTATTTCGCCTAAGAAGGCGTGTAGGGACGGCTATGAACGAAGAGTAGTGCTCGATGTTCTTTTGGAAGGTGTTAAGACACGTCAATAGGCGCTGCATCGAAACATCGGACCTTTCAAGTACTGGGATAAGCGTCGACCACAGCAAAGTATCAATAATTCGAAGGAAAATTCGGCGCAGCCAGGGTTCCCACGATTCGACAGCTTGGTGAAAATTATGTCAGTCTCTACGAAATTGCTCTCACTAATTAGATGCTGAAATTGAACGGGAGGATGCCTTACAAGTAACAACACTTCTACGATCTTCGGTATACTTGGTATACTATCATATTGACAGTTAGGACCAAAAGAGTTATCCTCCAAGTACCAAGCCTACTTACAATGCTGTAGCGATCCTAGTCCCGGGATTCACGACGGCGAGATTAACTAGAAAATCCGAGAAGGTGGTAGGGTGCAGGAGAGTCTAATGAGATAGGATCAATGATGACCGCAGTGAAACAAGCTGGGTAGACCTACGTGTGAAGGAGGCGACCAGAGCCCGAAGTGACCCACATCAGGAAAAACTGAAATACTACATAACTGACTACAATTTGTCTATATCATATTGATGATCGGTACCTTATGTTGCTCCACCTGTCACCTACCATACATCTCTGTAGCAACCCATAGTTCGAAACCTAGCCTCCATAGCCAAACAGGACATACATAAAGCCAAGTGCACACCTCCATAGATATATGAATGGAGGTGACGTGGCAGGTGTTCAAGGCGACGTAAAAATCCATTCTTATGATACAAAGGAAATCAACAATTCAATAGATGTCTCCGGGATACCTCACAAAAGGAATTTGTGCAGGGCAATTGCAAATGGCGGGTGGGTGTCAAGGAGGCACGATCAGCGTCGAAAGAATTACGAAGTTTGTTTCAATTTCCGATCCAACTCCGATGGTCCGTGCATTATCAACATGATCACGCCACCAAAAAGCGAACCATTTTTCTTCCCTCCTACCATTGCCTCCCCTTTTACTGCCTCGTCCAAGGTCAGCACTAGTAACTTCATCCTTTACGAAGATTGCGGCAACAGACTGATACTATGTAAACGCTGATGAGTTTATCCAGTGTGGACTGTCGCAGATGAAGTAGGTTTTCTTGGTCTGCCTTCGCATCCTTGGAGTTGATTGTTGCTGTTGTAGTGAGTTTGGAATGATTGGTGGTCTTGTGTTCCTAATGGTGAGTCAAATTCTGCTCGAACTATCCCTCACACTGATACTCATTGTTCTTGATAGCATTTGTCTGTTTGATTTCGGTTGTTGGAGGTGGTACTCGAGCTATGCAGCATTTCGATGGTGCGTATTATTTATAATATCTTTCACTCAATCGCTGACCTCGATTATTTAGATCGTATGTCTCGAGGCATTCGAAGCTCTTCCGGCAACTTCACTGTTGAGCGCTAGCATGGGTCCAGTAGAGGCAAAGAGCTAGTTGCAGGAGCCAGGAACCATGTACAAAATGTGTTGTAGCTGTGTACTAGTATATATCTCCCAGTGAATATATTGTTTTTTCCATAATTTTTGGTGTCTACCTCAGATGTGGCCTCGATTAGCTAGTTGTATATCCTATTATATACACCTAAAGTAGTGCTACAGTAGTCGCGGCAGCAGACTACAGAGGGCTACAGAGAGCTACAGAGACCCGAGTGAGAAGTACGATCGCTACATAAAGGGGACCTTTCGCATTTGCAATACCAGGTACAGATGCTACGTATGGGTATATCGCAACATCATTTTTTCCTGATGTTCCATCGAAAGGCATTGCCCTCACATTCATTATCCTATTCGGAATATCCACCTGTAAGCATTGTCACTCCCTAGAATTCGGTATCCATGGTGCTAAACACTGTCTTATCAGTGACACACACGACTCAGACCATCTATTTCCGTATGTGGTGGGCGTTCCTGACTATCATCCTCGCCGGATGCCTCGAGATCTTGGGATGGAGCGGGAGGTTTTGGTCGAGTATATCTCCAGATCTAGGTGATCCTTTTATGATTCAGTGAGTCTATACCTTTCGCTCGCAATTCACCCTCTGATCTAACTGTCGGGATAGAATAACGGCTACAATCATCGGACCTACACCACTTGTCGCCGCTAATTTTCTCATCCTTGGAGCCATAATTCGTATTCTGGGACCCGCGTATAGTAGGTTGAGCCCAAGAGCATGTGAATACTTCTCTCGCATAGCCATTCCACAGCTCACGATGTCCCCTTGCTTAGATTCTATAATATTCGTCAGCTGTGTGAGTACGATGAAATAGCCAACATCGCTCGCTGTGCTTATGTTATTGATCCCAGGATATTCTCTCGCTGGTGGTACAAGGTGGCGGCGGTGGTATCGCGTCATCCGCTTCCGACCGCAATGACCTCAAAGGTGCCAAGCTAGTGAGGTCATGTTTTGTCTTCTAATGCGCTGATCTGACGGTGTTCCATAGGGCAGTAATGTCATGCTTGCCGGTATCGTCTTCCAGCTTGGTAGGTCCCTCTGTTCTCTTCAATTGTCTCGACGTATCCTAATGTATCGTCTCGGCAGTGGTCATCACATTCTACGCCATCCTCGCTTGCGAATTCCTCGTCCGCTACACGCACAATTGCCCCGTTTCAAAACTATTCGCACGCAAGAAACGGAGCGACTCCTTGGTGACCCTCTCCTCACCCAATACCCCACGTGGATTCATGGATACGAAAATAAAAATCATGATCTTCGCACTCGCATTCAACACCTTGTGTCTATTCATTCGGTATGCTTCATTGGCTCTCATAGCGTTCGTGTCAAAGTCTTATCTGTATCATTTCACAGTGCAATCTACTGGACGATCGAACTCGCCGATGGATGGAACGGAAGGATTATTCTAACAGAGGTTTACTTCAGTATGTTGCGCCGTTTTGATCAATACCTCACTTCTTGACTGATTCTAATTTCTCGCGACTCTCAGACGTTCTTGATGGGGCCATGGTAGTCTTGGCTATTTACACGCTGAACTTTGCGCACCCTGGCATTTTGATTGGGCGGAATATGGGAAGAAGCCGCAGTGCTTTAGATGCAGAGAAGAACGACAGCGCACTTGAGCTTGGCAGATCATAAAATATAGACTGGTTGACGAGTATTTTTTTCACGGACGCGTCCTTAGGCTTATTGAGTAGCTTTAGTTAGATGCACAGGGTGCCAATATAAATGAATCATGCAGAAATGTCCCTTTGAAAGTAGCACAGTCACAATGAGCAATTTATGTGCCCCATGGCTGAGTTGGTTACAGTGTCTGACTGTTAAGAGTGATTGGAAGGTCAAGAGTTCGAGCCTCTCTGGGGCAGTTATGTAATCATTCAGTATTTTGTTTGTGCTGCTTGGGCAGCGTCGCCGCGGCAAGCTTGCGCAATATGAACTAGGGCTGCGCATGAAACCTCTGGGGGGTGTAAGATACGGTTTTATACCGACCCCTCTCCAAGGGGGTGTTTTGATACGGTAATTTAATTATGACTGGGGGCAACGCCGGTTAAGAAATTGTGCACTGACTAAGCAGAGATCGGTCCTTTTGATGGCAAAATGCTTCATCTCACCTTCGGCTCTCGTTAGCGTTGATTTGCAGCCCTCACCACTAGTGTATGCAATAGATACCATCATGGCATTAAACCATTTGAACTGTGATTTTACTTGGTGGAAAATGACCCTGTAATAATTAATAATTGGCGCGTCGCGTTTGTTTGGCTTTGTTAACAGGCCCTTCCCCATGCAACTATAATGCACCCATTCACAGCTTCCACATGGACAGATTGCAACCAAAAAAGATATAGAAGTCCACAGTGGGTTAAAATACATGTATTCTATGTGGAAAAATGACAAAATTCATATTGATATAATGGAATATACGAGTGAAATGGCACAATCTAGCAGGGTAAAGAAATTATAGTTCATAGAATACATGTAGAATTATCTACCGAACATTTTCTCCCACTGAAAATAGTCACCAACATGTGCGGTTCAGCCCACAGCAGGTGCAGACATCCGAAGTGAATTTTTTGGCATGAAATCCATAAAGGGTAACTCATGGTCGGAGTTTGAAATTTGGCGAGGATTGCCAACGGTCATTATTACTAATAATTAGTAATTTACTGTTACTTACCCTATCACGTGCATAATCACATGCCTGACGCGTGTCATTTGCAAAAATTTCGCAGCATCTTCATCTTCGTATTCTTTTACACATTTTTCTTTCTCCTGGAGTGTGATTCATTGAAAGTTACTAAAGAGATATGTTTTAAGCTGTAAATAAAATATAACTACACTAAGATTGAATATAGTGGTAATATTATATAATATTGCCGCTGAAATGTCATCACATGACAGGTAAGTTACCTTGACGAAAACCCCTCCAGCAGGGGGAGGTAAATTACCAGTAACTAACCGGTAACTTACCGGTCCGAAACCCTAGTGTATCAAAACCTAGGGTTTCGTGCGCAACCCTAATGCGAACACTGAGACTGTAAGACAGCCTTCGAATCTTACAGTTAAGACTCCAGAGTACAGACTGCAACTATTTCAATTTTTTGAGTATGGCTGGCAATCACATGGTGCAAGGGACATTCTTCGATTACTCCTGAAAATCTTGCAGTAAGAGATGATGCAGAGTCGAGGCAAAGTCGACTCTCTTCATCAGGTACATCAGGAAAAAATGATGTTGCGATATACCCATACGTAGCATCTGTACCTGGTATTGCAAATGCGAAAGGTCCCCTTTATGTAGCGATCGTACTTCTCACTCGGGTCTCTGTAGCTCTCTGTAGCCCTCTGTAGTCTGCTGCCGCGACTACTGTAGCACTACTTTAGGTGTATATAATAGGATATACAACTAGCTAATCGAGGCCACATCTGAGGTAGACACCAAAAATTATGGAAAAAACAATATATTCACTGGGAGATATATACTAGTACACAGCTACAACACATTTTGTACATGGTTCCTGGCTCCTGCAACTAGCTCTTTGCCTCTACTGGACCCATGCTAGCGCTCAACAGTGAAGTTGCCGGAAGAGCTTCGAATGCCTCGAGACATACGATCTAAATAATCGAGGTCAGCGATTGAGTGAAAGATATTATAAATAATACGCACCATCGAAATGCTGCATAGCTCGAGTACCACCTCCAACAACCGAAATCAAACAGACAAATGCTATCAAGAACAATGAGTATCAGTGTGAGGGATAGTTCGAGCAGAATTTGACTCACCATTAGGAACACAAGACCACCAATCATTCCAAACTCACTACAACAGCAACAATCAACTCCAAGGATGCGAAGGCAGACCAAGAAAACCTACTTCATCTGCGACAGTCCACACTGGATAAACTCATCAGCGTTTACATAGTATCAGTCTGTTGCCGCAATCTTCGTAAAGGATGAAGTTACTAGTGCTGACCTTGGACGAGGCAGTAAAAGGGGAGGCAATGGTAGGAGGGAAGAAAAATGGTTCGCTTTTTGGTGGCGTGATCATGTTGATAATGCACGGACCATCGGAGTTGGATCGGAAATTGAAACAAACTTCGTAATTCTTTCGACGCTGATCGTGCCTCCTTGACACCCACCCGCCATTTGCAATTGCCCTGCACAAATTCCTTTTGTGAGGTATCCCGGAGACATCTATTGAATTGTTGATTTCCTTTGTATCATAAGAATGGATTTTTACGTCGCCTTGAACACCTGCCACGTCACCTCCATTCATATATCTATGGAGGTGTGCACTTGGCTTTATGTATGTCCTGTTTGGCTATGGAGGCTAGGTTTCGAACTACGGGTTGCTACAGAGACGTATGGTAGGTGACAGGTGGAGCAACATAAGGTACCGATCATCAATATGATATAGACAAATTGTAGTCAGTTACGTAGTATTTCAGTTTTTCCTGATGCAGAAATGATGAAGATTGGAGCATAGCGGAGTGAAGAAACAAAGGTCGAGGTCGTCGTGATGATCGATGACAAGGGTTGTTTGGCGACGTCAACAAATAAACACGGCTCTTTTCACTACCACCACCATCACGCGCAAGTCGCGACAATATTGTCCTGTAGACGTGTCTGCAACACTTCCCTGGAGCTTGCAAGGCCTGTACGATGTCAACGAAGGACTTGGTAGTCAGCTCGGGTGCCGGTACGGAGTGAGCAAGCCTATTTCTTCCTCTCTCCAGTGCTTTTACGCCCAATTTTAGGCATCTTTGGTGGCGAACACAGTATTGCTGAGCCGGAGACTGTCGACTGACTGCCGGTAAGATATCATTGAATCGCTGGCGACTGGAAGACCAACCTCGGTAGCGACTCTACAAGGGTAAGTCTACCCTGCTGTCCTTCCCGACACCTTTGTTTATTGTTGAACAGTATGACTACCTAGCACGGACCGCGAAGGCATGTTCTACGCGCCCGTGCAAAGGCGTCGTAACTCTTGAAGAAGAATCGGATGTCGCGGCCAACGGTCAGATCGTTACTACTCACCTCATTTTCAGTTTAGAATTTACTCTGTTGCTATTACTACAATTCTTGGACATACACACGTTTGGGAAGAGCCTGGTATATCCATTTTGGCTCATCTCGTTTCCTCGACCATAAAACTAGAAGAGGCTGAGAACATTAATACAGACGTACAGACGACATCGGCAACGCTTCCCGGTTTGCGTTATTGAATTCCTGGGAAAGTCTCACCCCATTCACGTACCAGTTTAGTGATGCACAGAAGTCTTTGACTGTTCTGCGGATGTCGGCTGGATTGAGTGAGATTTCGCGTCCGAGACGGTCGTAGCATGTCTGTTGAGAAATGCGTCCGTTCTTGTGCGCGAACCATATCACAGGCGAAATTCTCGCAGGGGACTTTGGGCGGAAGGGTTGGGCTAGTAGGTCTCTCTCTGAAGAAGACGTCTCCCAGTTTACAGATTAACACATTGTATGGTACTACTGGTATTCTGTGTTTCTTGGATGCATGCTGAAGCTATTCCTATAGATTTCACCAGTATTTGCCGTTTTGAATGAGACTTCGTTCTATGATCTCGTGAAGTCTGTAACTGCCCCAACGACTCACTTGGATCGGCTGGAGTCTCTTCCGATAGAAGCAGCGCCGTCGCCCCGACGTCCCCACCAACAGGGTGATTGATACAAGCATATAAGCCGTCATCTATAGTATCTATGCAGATACCCTGGGAATGGACTAACACGTGAGAATACCTTCCAAACTATTCACGACAGCTGGCAGTCTCCATTGCGAGACTCGTAATATAATCAAGGACCGTTTCTAGACATCTCATCATATTTCTTGTGTTTTCGAGAGTAGGCTATCGAACACCAATAAGTAATAATATCCTATCCAACATGAAAGATACAAGGCGGCGTTAGCGAGGAATCTCGCGCGTAGGTAATGGGGGCGGCAGCGTCGAGGAAGAAACAAAAGGATCCGAAGCATCACTCCTACGTGAGGAACGGTAAGAGGGTGGTGGGGAGCTGCTGTACGTGAGCTCCATCTGCTCATGCATATACCTAATATGATTTTCACGAGACAGCACCTCCTGTCGTAGCCGCTCGATCTCTTCTTCGTACGCATTGCGAGAAGACTGAGATAGTCTCCTCGGAAGGTCGGATGTGGGAGAGTTGATAGTCGAGATGGATACGGTCCGCGCGGAGGCGGATGATGATCGTAGGAAGGGGTTAGAGTTTGGTACAGTACTAGTCGCTGGGTCATCAATCTCCTCATCAGCATTGCTACCAACCCTGCTACGATGTTTTCTTCTTCGCCAGAGAATGAAAAGCAGAGCAAGGACAATCGCAGCCAACGAGCCAATGATGCTGCCAGCGATCGTCGCTGGGGAAGTTGTCTTACGAGAAGAACTGTTGGCTGCTGCCGGTGAACTAGATAAGACCCCATGAGAAAACGCGGCTCTAGGTACTGCGCTCGACTTACGAAGAGGTCTGTAGAGGGAAAGATGGACTGATAAAAATTGTCTGTGTTCTATTGGAAAGTATTAAGACTTGTCAATAGGCGCTATATAGAAACGACAGACTTGGTGCTGGAAACACTGAGCTAAGCTTCGGCAACAGTGAAAAGTATTGACAAGACTCACTCTGTAAGGGTAACGTCGACGCCTCCTCTGTCTGTATGATCTCTTTGAAACATTTGTCAATAATCAGATATTGAGATTGAGAAGGACGGTGCAGTGGGCCTTACAGTGGTGACGTTGTGGCCTCGAACGTGGACGAGGCAGTATTCTCGGGCGGGAAAATCACTGACGTCATGGAGGGCGTCTGGCCCATAGCGTGCTGCGTGACGAGAAAAGCTGAGTTG